CTTTGAATCTCCTGATAAAATGAGACGTCGTTCATCTCCACCAGACAGTAGAAGATGTTGATGCTTCTGTCAGGAGAGATTCTATCAGTGTTCATCTCCTTCAGGTTGGTGATGATTCTCTGGATGGTTTCTGGACGGTTCTCTGTCTGACCCAGCAGATCCTCTAAGAGTCTCTGGTTGGACTCCACAGTGAGACCATGAAGGAAGCGGACAAACAGGTCCAGGTGGCCATTTTCACTGCTGAGGGATTTCTCCATGACTTTCTTCATGAACTCATCTAGAGATGTTTCATTGTATTTTTCTCCCAGGAACGTCTTGATGACCTCTGACCTCCTGCTGGTGAAGCAGTGGAGCATGTAGACGGCAGCCAGAAACTCCTGGATGCTCAGATGAACAAAGCAGTAGACTGATTTCTGGAAGATCACACTCTCTCTTTTGAAGATCTCTGTACAAACTCCTGAGTAAACTGAGGCCTCTGTGACATCCAGACCACACTGCTCCAGGTCTTCTTGGTAGAACATGATGTTTCCTTTCTCCAGATGTTCAAATGCCAGCCTCCCCAGCTTCAGAAGAACTTCCCTGTCAGCCTCCATCAGTTTCTGTGGATTTGTCTCATGTCCTCCATGGTATTTGTTGTTCTTCCTCCTTGTCTGGAGCAGCAGGAAGTGTGAGTACATATCAGTCATGGTCTTGGGCAGCTCTCTTCTCTGCTCTGAGGTCAACATGTTCTCCAGAACCGTAGCAGAGATCCAGCAGAAGACTGGGATTCCACACATGATGTGGAGAGGTTTTGATTTCTTGATGTGGGAGATGATTCTGCTGAACAGCTCTTCTTCACTGTACCTCCTCCTGAAGTACTCCTCCTTCTGGGCGTCGGTGAAGCCTCGTACTTCTGTTACCCTGGAAACACATGAAGGAGGGATCTGATTGGCTGCTGCAGGTCTGGTAGTTATCCAGATGAGTGCCGAGGGAAGCAGATTCCCCTTGATGAGGTTTGTCAGCAGAACGTCAACTGATGACTTCTGTGTGACGTCAGAAACCAGCTGACTGTTGTTGAAGTCCAGTGAAAGTCTGTTTTCATCCAGGCCATCAAAGATGAAGAGCAGTTTGCATTTAGCCAGCTGCTCTGCTGGGAACTTCTGGAGTGTTGGATGGAAAACATGGAGCAGAGAGAGAAGACTATGCTGCTCACCTCTGATCAAGTTCAGCTCCCTGAACGAAAGCAGAACCACCACACTGACATCTTGGTTCTCCGAGCCGTCGGCCCAATCCAGAGTGAACTTCTGCACTGAGAAGGTTTTTCCAACACCAGCAATGCCATTGGTCAGAACCACTCTGATGGCTCCATGTTGGTCAGGGAAGGATTTAAAGATGTCATGGCACCTGATTGCAGAGTCATGGCGCTTCTTGGAAACTCTCTCCAGTTGCTTCATGACATGCTGGTTAACGTCTTCACTCTGTCCCTCTGTGATGTAGAGATCAGTGTAGATCCTGTTCAGGAGAGTTCTACTTCCTGTTTCATCATTTCCTTCAGTCACACATTGACATTTACTTCTCAGACTGATCTTATGTTTCTCTAGAACCTCCTGTAGACCAATATCTGTTGAAACACAGAAGATAACTATAGTAAAAAAACATGATATAGTGGTAAAGTTAGAACAAAGCCATCTGAAACACTGAATGCAGCAGCTTTAAGCAACATCAACTCTTCTGCATCATGTCCTCATTTTACCATTTCTACTTGGCTTTATCCAAAAAACAACTACAACAAAAAAGGCACAGACAGAACAGTGTTTCCTCCCATCATTTTCCAGCCTTAATGAAAGAAATCTGGAGAAAACCTCGAACCTGCCAGAGAAACAGCTCATTTAATTGGTAGTTTTCACATTTAGAATGGCTTTTCTCAAAGACGTGGATCTGGTTCCACCGAAACGATAGGAGAAAGTTCTGATTGGAGGTATTCAGTCTCACCTGGACCACAGCTGCTCTGATTCGCTGTTAACAATCTAGCTCGTGTTCTGGGTTGTTTCCCACACTGAGGGCAGGAAGAGGGTCCAGATGGAGCACACTGGTCCCAGTAGGACCTAATGCATTGTCTGCAGAACCAGTGTCCACAGCTGGTAGAGACCGGATTTATCAGAACATTCTGACACAAAGCACAGCAAGACGGCTGCTCCTCCTCACCAACGCTGCTCCTCTTCCTCCTCCTGTAAAGACATTTCTTAATCAGTGAAATATTTCACTAATAACAGACTGAAGCTGAAGATGTTCATGAAGGTTCACCACAAACAAACGACCAGAAACTGGGCCAGAACAGAATCTCAGAACATTGATGATCTCTGATTTGAAGTTCTTCATTGAATTATATCTGATATCATAATTTATACCAATATTCCCAGTCTGGAAGATGATGGGCTTCACTGCTTGAGTGTGTTTACAGACAATCTGAATCGTTGCTTTTTACATTCTTGGTTGTTTTTGATTTTATGCAACAATTTAATTGTTATGGAAGTAATTGTCAACAATTAATTCAGTCAGACCTTCATTCAAACTCTACTGATTTACTGACCAACATCCTTCATGACTAACTTTAAATTAATATGTAAGAAAATTAAGTCACTGTTTACACAAACACTGAGATCAAATAGTTAATATAATTTATATTATATCTCTATAGACCAGGGGTGGCAATCCTGGTCCTCGAGGGCCGGTGTCCTAAGACTCTTAAATGTCTCCCTGGTCCAACACACTTAAATCCAAAACTGAATCACCTCCTCGGTGCAGTCAGGTTCTCCTGAGTCCTGCTAATGACCTCATTATTTGACTCAGGTGTGTTGAAGTAGAGAAACATCTAAAAGTTGCAGGAGACCGGCCCTCAAGGCCTGGAGTTGCCCATACCTAATCTAGTCACATAAATCAGTTAGAAATTGGTTTCTTACTTTCTGTCTGAGGGTCCAGGTTTATTACTGAAGTGTAGAGGTTCATCTTTGGACCAGTCACTCCTCATAGATGGACTGATGGATCCTGGAGGTTCTGTTCTGTCCTCCTTTATATCCTGATCTTCCATCTTCTGGACTTCAGTGAGCCTGAGAAAGAAACCAGAACCAGTCAGTCCAGTGATCCAGGTCCAGTAAGTGTCCTGTGAAGCAGAAAGTTGGTTCCCATCTTGAGTTCAGAGGATCAGAGTGAATAAAGGAGTCAACATTTCCTATGAGCTAGTGAACTTCATAGGAATAAAAACATTGTAACATCCCTTTACAGTCATGCAGCCTCTTGTACTACAACACACACTTTCCGCTCGCTCACACACACACACACGCACACACACGCACGCATGCACGCGCACACTCACAAAATAAGCAGTGGGAGAAGTTATGAGGATTATTACTTCCACGTTGTTGATGGCGGTGTTGGAGAAAAACAAAAATTATCTAGAAACACTCTGAACCTGCTAAAGCCTCGACAAGCATCTTAAAGCTCGTTGAGGTGATGATGCGTTCAGTGGATCTGAACGTATCATGACTCTATTGTAGCTCCGTATGGAGGGAGTCAGTGTGCAGAAGGTTCTGAGGGAGCAGCAGCTCAGGTCGGGTCCACAGCTCTCCTCCAGACAGAACCGGGTCCAGCTGGGATCTCAGCAACATGTCAGCCTCTGTGGTCATGTGGAGGGGTGAAAGTAAGGGGGTACAGTAGGGTACTGCATACCCCTAAAAGATTTAGCGGGGGTAGGCAGTACCTGCAAGAGATGGGAGCGGCTGTCTGCTGTAAAAAATCAAAGGGTTCACTGTGCAGCCATGACTTATTAGTTTTTCAAGAACAATCTAAAACACGACTTAATCAGTTAATAAATAGTTGTTTTTTTCCCAATTCATATTGTTTCTCAACTGTTCGTGCTTTGCTAGAGCAGTGGTGCGATACGTTGATCTCGGCATCAGGTGACAAACTGAACGCCGCCAGGAGGCTGAGATCAGCACATCCTCCTCTGACTCATCAAAACGTTCGTAACTTTATTAAATAACCAAAAAAATAAAAAAGAAAAAAAAGCTGCTTTCAGGGACAAAGCATCCAGCTGAGGTACCAGCTGGACCCACTGCAATGAATTATGGGTAAACAGCTGCTTCAGTGAGGGGGAGGAAGCCCCTCCTCATTCAGCGAGGCCTAAAAAATATTTAGTCAACTGATCAGACTCGGAATTAAAATTCAATATAAAGAGGCACATTATGCAACTTTTTTAATGTGGTGGAATGTAGTTTGTGACCTAAAACGTTTTTAAATTATTTATTTTATTATTATTATTGCCCATCTAAAACAGGGGTGTCCAAAGTCAGTCCTCGAGGGCCGGCATCCTGCATGTTTTAGTTCTCTCCCTAGTGGTAGTAATAACCTCCTCAGCAAATCAATGTTCTTCTTAGGCCTCTAATGAGCCATCGTTTGATGCAGGTGTGTAAAACCAGGGAGAAAACTAAAACATGCAGGATGCCGGCCCTCGAGGACCGACTTTGGGGACCACTGACCTAAAAGGTATAGTTATTCTAGTTTATTTGCAGTTTTGCAGCGGCACTTGGAGAGACAAAGTGTTTCTTCCTGCTGCAAGGAGCAACAAGGGGAAAACCTGGAAAAAGACCAAACTCAGTAAGAATGAAAAGAGAAATTCTGTGGACTGTCTCTGCTCCAAAGAAAAGAGAAACATCAGTTTCTGATGAACCCCAGGCAGATGAGAGATGGAGTGATGTGTTTCACTTTCTGCTGACTTCAACAAGCAGAGAAACTAGTTTAAAACTGTTTCTGTTCTGGTTTTTAGATTAAAACACCAAAGAATACACAGAGAGAGCCCCTGCAGCAAGAACACTGATGTACTGTAAAAAGTTACATCAAGTTCTCAGTTTATTTACGTTAAATTTGAAAAGTTCATTATTGCACACTCTACACAAACGGATCAGCTTCAAATACTGGTGCTGCTGTCATGCCAGAGCCATACCACTTTATTCTAAAGCTAATGAAATACAATATTGCAGCTGACCAAAGTGTTGTACAAAAACAAAGAACAACAGTAAAGCAACTGTAAGAAAATAGAAATCAAAACATCACCAATTCAAGCAAGTAGGAATGCAGCATTAAGACAGGAATGTTAGCTCACTCTGGGTTAAAAGCCAGAGAAAAAAAAAATTTTTTAAACGACCTTTAAAAAGTTGCACAATAGAGTTGATCATTCACCAAGTCAACTGCGCAGCAACTAAGCTGTGTTTCTATGATTTGTGCATTGTTTCTCTCATTATTCCTTAAAGGTTCATAATGTAAACTCTCTTAACATCTCAAGCCATCTCACCTTTCTAGATTGGGCCTTTAATAAAGTAAACAGAGCGCTGATATGGAGATCACACCGTATGAGAGACGAGGGATCCAGACCGAGGTGGCCGAGGCCCCGGGAAGCCTCGGAGGGTTTATCGGTCAAAAAGGCTCCAGAGAGCCGAGAGAGACACGGAGGGACCCGGAGCGGCAACACTTACCTCTGTTAACAAGTCAACATGTTATTTCCACCCTGCGCTCAAAATGGAGGCTGACTTGAAGAAAAATATCAAAGTTAGTTTCAGTTTCTTTTTCACAGAAAGTCACGTGACTTGTGTTTTCTTCAGCGTCCAGAATCAAAGTTTGATTCATTTGTATAAATATTAACAGTTCAGTTTGAGTTTACAAAGTGAAATAAAACTAGAATAAAGATAGAAAACTTTCAGTATTTCTGTTTTGCTGTTACTGAAGAAGATTTGAAGCTGAGCAACTTTTTTCATTGATTCAGCAGAACTAACAGGTTTTTGATAGTGGATTATGAGCGCTCATTGCCCTCTGGTGGCAATCCTACTGCGCAAAAACGGTTTATAACAAGTTCAACATCAGTCTAAGTAATCTGGTGGTCAAAGAGCATCACAAATACTCTAATCAGTCATTTGATAAATTGCTGCTTTCTCCATGTTTCCACTGATATTTTAACCTTTTTAGTTTTGCTGATGAGCTCCAAGATAGAAAGACTCGTTCATCACATTAATCTTTAAATCTGTCCACAGATTATCTTGGTTTATAGCAATTAGACCAAGATAATCACATCTAAACCAATTAGCTTTAATGCTAATTAGCTTTAATGCTAATTAGCTGTAATACTAATTAGTTTAGATGTAATTTTACATAACATATGGCTTTCTGATGCACCATGCAACAACAGCAAGCGAAAACATATTACATGTAATTCACATGTAACATGTTAGTGTTTTTGTCTTTGACATTTACAAATTTAATTTAAATAAAGAGTCTCATTTATTGTGCAGGTCCTTCAATGACGAAGACTTCAGCAGGGACCACATTGAGCCCACCAGAGCTGAGGTTGCATTTGGATACAATTTATTAACTGAGATTTTCCAGGCTGGAGACATTTATATTAAGATTAAAATAAGTAAGACACCAATAACAACATAGTTCAGCTTAAGGCAAGCTTTAATTTTTCTTCCATACTTTACTGCTTTAAATTTTTACTTATCAAAAGCAATTTAAAATATCTCACCACGCTGCTAATATTTCTTTGTTTTAACAGAAAGAGTCTGTAAAGAAAAAACTTGTCAACGTCTTGATGGGTTTGACAGAATTCAACTTTAAGGAGATTCTGTGGCACTTGCAGAACTTGCAGGCTACTCAACAATTAAAAAGGTAAAAGTCCAGAATGCTGAGAAATGGGACATTGTGGATTTAATTGTGGGCCATTATGGATCTGAAGGAGCTCTGGATGCGACGAAGGCAGTTTTACAGTTCATGAACATGAACGATCTGGCAGGAGAAATGTAAATACTGAGCTTTGATTGAGCTACATTCGCTCATTGTTGCTCCTTCCAGCAGAAGGCTGAACATTTTACTGAAGTCTTCAAGAAAATGTAAAAACAGATTTATTCTTTCTCGATTTGGCAGAACACAATGAAAACATCAAATAGACATGAAATAGTTATCTGTACCATGATGAATTTAAAGTTGTTCTCCACCGTGTAAAAAAATATCATTTTGAGCCCTGAGAAATAAAAACTACACACAAGGACAAAAAATGTTGGCATCCCTCAGTTAATGACTGAAAAACCCACAATGGGCAGTGATATAATTGAAACTAGCTAAAGTAGAAATAAATAAAAATATTCCAAAAATTAACCAAGATGGATGCCAGGGTGGTAAAACATGCGACCCATAAACGGAGGCCCAAGTCCCAGACGTGACTGTCACAGGTTTGAGTCCCGATTAACTTTATCACATGTCATCTCTCTCCCTCATAACCCACGTTCGTGTCTGACGACTGTTAAATAAAGGCCACCAGAGCTGGGAAAACTTTTAATAAAAAAAAATTTAATTAGAAAAATCTGACATTGCTTTTGAAGTGTAACAGAATTATTTGTAAACAAATTGATGAAACAAGCCTGGACAAAAATGATGGTGCCTCTAGAAAAGTTTGAATATAGTTTGATTATTAGATAGTAAACTAAGGTGCGTCCTTTACTAGAAATGGAGGAGTTTTCAAGTTCATATTCAGTCAACCGGCTTAAATAAACAGTGACAAGTAGTTCCTGTACCAAACATACTAAAATACAATGCCAAAGCTTCAAGGCACATGATGCCATGTTTTATCACATTATAGTAACTGTTACCTCAGGTTGTTATAAAAATGCTTTATATGTCAAGAAGTAACCCAAAAGAAATTTAAGGCCTTCAAATTGGGCCTGTGTCTCCTTAAGAAGCTCTTTCTGAAACTGTCTCCAGGAAGTCATCACTACATGCTTCTCCTCATGCTGTTTACTGCTGTTCTCATGAGCGCTGCAGTGAGGAGAAGCTCCTGTGAGCTCAGCAGATGACCAGCTCCATCTGAGGTTTGCTAGTTGCTGCTGCAGCAGAGGCTGAAGTAGACAGGAAAAGATGCAGCTAAGGAGCAGATTTAGAAGAACACAGAAAAGCTGCAGAATTTAAGAACTGTGAGCTGAACTGAAGTGAACAAAGGAAAGACGTTCAAATACATGCTGAGAGTGGAAATCCTTCCTTAAGGTGAAGATATTACAGATTTCAAAATAAAATAAAATAAAATAATTCAAAAGCTTGAGGGCAGGTCTCACTTCACATCCCTTTTTACTCCGTTATGCAGTAATCCCGTCTTTCCACCTGAGACTGTGAGCAACAAAATGTATCTCTGCTCTTTCTGATTTAATGTACGGACCAAACCTGATGTCCTTTGATCAGTTAATTACCAAACATCCACAGACATGACGTCTTTCGGTATTTATAGATGAGGGACCAGATTTTAAAGAACACAATGATGCTCAACAACCAAAATGTCTCTGATTGTGAAAATCAATAATTTAAGCCAAAACTTAAAAGCTCTATTAAGACTTGTTATAGTTTATTAAAAGAACTGGGGATTATGAAGCTGATTTTCTTAAAGGAGACACGAGAAAAAGAGCTATGGAGATCAGTAATGAGGCTTGGAATGAAGCTTGGGAAAATACTAAATATCTGAGTATTTGTAAAAAGTTAAAGGCTATTCAACTTAAAATCCTACATTATGCCCATAAATCTCCCCATTTAAGTCACCAATTTAATCCAGACCTTTCTCCGCTTTGCCCCAAACGTAAAATAAAGACGGGTTTTCTAAGTCAGTCTTTGGTCCTGTAGGAAAATTCAACAATCCTGGTTGAGTATAAAAGAAGAGCTGGACAAGATTTTTTCCATTAGCACTGAATGTAACCCAGTATGTTACTGGGAGTGACGAACAACGGCCTTAAGAAGAACTGTGGAAAACAACAGGATGCTGACATCCATCCAAAACACAGTTTCAATGGACTGTCCTTGAACGTGTCGTCTGACTTTCTAACTAGTAAATCACACAATAGAGAAACATGTTTGATGATATTTGGGAACTTTTTATGCTGCATGTTGGTTTGGATATTTCTGCTATTGTTTTACATGGGGCCTTAAATAATATATTGCAATAATGTCTCTTCTATCATATGTGTGAAGGTTCATAACATTTTATTAATTTTGATCCAGGGTAATATTGATGCTCTTATTGTTGTGGTATTTTGTTCTGCTTTTGTTTTTTCTTTTCCTTTGTATCAGAACATGGAAATAACAAATAAATATGTTGGGGAAAAAGAAAATAAAAATGAGACACTGTGGATAACACTGGTGCTGATCAAAACATTAGAATGTCATGAAAATGTTGATTTAAATCAGTAATTCCATTCAAAATGTATATATTATATTAATTTGTTACACACAGACTGATGTGTTTCAAATGGTTTTTTTTCTTTAAATATTGATGATTATTGACAACTAATGAAAACTCCAAATATCAGAAAATTAGACTCCTGGAGGATATTGATAGATAGTTGAGTGGAGGGAAAAAGTGCCTTCTTAAAGTGATGCGGAGTTTATTTAGTTTGCTCCGTTGTTTTAGTGTAGAGATACATGCATCAGGATTCTTGGTTTTCTTTAGAGTCAAAGGCGGATAAAGTTCTGGTCCAGATGGATCTGAAGTCTGGTTCTGAGCAGAGCTACTAGTTACATTTACTCTGTTACTTTTACTCCAGTAATATTTTGTAAAAATGTACTTTTACTAGTATTTTTACTATGCTGTACTTTTCTTGAATACTTTTATTTTGAAGTATTTTTCCTCTGACTTCAGTAAATTTTCTGGCTCCTCGACTCGCTGAGAAAAACTTCACTGAATGAAGAACAAACTTGTTTTAGACTAAAATTCACCAGACCTGCAGTTTCTGCTACAATTTATACATTTTATTTTGAAATAAACTGATTAATAAATAGATTTACCTCATTTTGCTCTTCTGAAAATGTTATTTATATGAATTATTTTCATTTAGTCTTTAAAATACATAAATTTCCTCCAAACTTTATATTTTGATGTAATTTATAAATATTAATTGATGTTTTGATAGTGGCTCAGAACATGAGAAGCTTTTTCACCAAATCCTTTTTTCCTCTAGTAATTTTTCAGATGCTCCTTTTTCCTTTTCCTTCAGTGAACCATGCTGAGGTTCTGCTGCTCTGGACCACATTTGGTCTCAGTTTTATCCTCCGTTGTCTCTGCAGCTGGAAGGACTCAGTAGTTTTTCCTTCCAGAAGAGTTGAACCCTGAATCGTCTCCTGTCATGAAGTCGCTGCACAGCCAGTTAAAATGCTGCTTCTGATGGCGTCCAGGATGAGTCGGACCCGTTTGATTGGCCCAGAGGAGGAGCAGAGCGACTGATGCTGCAGCACCTGGTGTCTGATTGGCTGAAGGAGATCGCTCCATCGTTTGCTCTTTATTCTCTCTCTTTCTCAACCATCTGCTGAATCCAGTATGAAAATGAATCAGAGAGAAAAAAGATCAACTTTCCAGTTGAATCCAGTTCAGATCAAAACTCCATGAAGCCTCTAAATGGAGCCCAGTTTGAATCGGATCTTTATTGATCCAAAGAGACAAACAATATCAGACACTAAATGACAGACATGAGAAAATAAACAGGAGGAAAATCTTGGAGGTCAGAGGTCATCATCAGGATCCAGTCAGAGTCTCTTTAGACTCAAACTGCTGCAGCTTCAACCTCTGAGGATCAGCAGGACACAGAGACCATTCTCTACAGAGATCAGATCCTGCAGAGAGAAGAAGGAAGGAGAGATCAGATGAGTGAGTGTTTCCAGCCTCTCCAGCAGCAGTCAGTGACGCAGCACATCCAG